GGTTGAGGGTGGAGCAGGCTAGAAACAGCAATTTGGGAGTCATGTGAGCTAGTGGTGGTGGTCTGCACAGGAGGTTGCCAAGGGAGAAGGAAGGTCAAAAACAGTCCAGAGAAAGCATGAAAGGGAGGAGGAAAATTCCATGGCCAGCTCATAGAAGGGCCGGGGGGAGGGGGTGTGTGTCTAGTGATACATTTTTTTCTGCAAAGGGCCTGACAGGTAGTAAGTGTGCAGTACAGACTGAGAGAAAGGATGGGAGCGGGGAGGGAGGAGGGGCTGAGAAAGAATGTCAGGAAGCCGAGAGTCCATCATCCAGAGAAGGCCAGAGCGCTGAAGGGAGTGACAGCCCGCCCGGTGGGTGCCAAGGCCTGGTGGCCTCCGAGGGCATCTTCAGCGGAATAGTGAGGCCTCCTTGTTCGGGATCACAGGGCGGGAGGCCTGGCCGGGACCCCTGTAGGGGGTGCTTCCAGGACGTGCCCCAGAATGGCAGGGCGGGGCTAGGAGGAGTAACTTTGGAGGAAGACTGGCTGGAGGCTTCTCAGGACAGGGGAGACTGGGCCATGCTTGCAGGCAGAGGGAGCCAGTTCCAACAGGTGGAGGGACCGGTCCACGCCCGGGTGGAGGGCCAGCTTTGGAAACACTTGTTTCCCTGAAAGGAGAGGACGGGGTAAGAAGCAAGGTGACCACCCAATTCGGAGGCTTTTGTTAAAAGAGAGATAAGGTCCTATGCGACTGTCACAGGCCGCTAGGCAGAGGTTACAGAGAGCAGAGGAGGTTTGCAAGGGTCACAGCAGGGAGTGTGGGTGGCCGGGCAGGTTGGGGAGGACAGAGAGCTTGTCTCCTGGAGGCGGAGGCTGCACCTGGGTGGCCCTGGCACCTCCCTTTGAACAGCTGTCTGAGGGGACACAGTAGGGCAATGGCTGTCTATCAGCGGTAGCTGCCCAGGGAAGCGGGGAGGGGCAGGGTCGGGGGTGGGCTGTGTCACAGGTGTGCATGGCCTTCCCAAGACCCACACTCACACACGCACACATCCTACGGGCACGGCCCTTCAGAAATGGGGTTCCACGGAAGGATGTCTCTGCTCTGTGCACACCATGCCATCCCCGGGGCGGGTCGCCCCTCTGGGCCTCCTCCCACCAGTGCCCACCGGGATGTCAGACATCACAGCACGCTGGTAGCTGGTAACCTGTTAATGTTCTGCCCTTTCCCGGGCATTACTTGTCAATGTGGGCTAGACTTATGGGGTGAGGTATTACTGGTGACATTTTAAGCCAGGAGGGAGAGTGTTTTGGAGTGGAGGAGTGAGGGTGGGGGTGGGGGTGGAGTTTTCTTGGCTTCTGTCAAATCATACTGCAAAGCAACTGCTGCACGCTGGTAGCTGGTAACCTGTTAATGCTCTGCCCTTTCCCGGGCATTACTTGTCAATGTGGGCTAGACTTATGGGGTGAGGTATTACTGGTGACATTTTAAGCCAGGAGGGAGAGTGTTTTGGAGTGGAGGAGTGAGGGTGGGGGTGGGGGTGGAGTTTTCTTGGCTTCTGTCAAATCATACTGCAAAGCAACTGCTTACTCCACCCACACATACCCCCCCCCCCAAAGCTACTTCCCTCCAAGTCCACACCCCCTCTCACTCAGCCGCCTCCAGCCCCCACCCTCCAGCACCTGCGCTGCACACCTCCTGCTCTGCACTGACTCCCTGGACGGGGCCACAGGGCAGGCTGCAGCAGGAAGGTAGGGCGGGATGGGAGGAAGGAAAGAACCTGGGAGGAAGGCAGGCCCAGGTGGCGGAAGGGACACCTCAGCTGCCCCAGCTCCGATCAGACACTGGCGGCTCCTCCTCCTTCCCCGTGCACCCCGCCCTCCCCAGCTGTGCTGCCCGCCTTATCTGAGCCGCCAGCCAGCCCCACCTCACACTGCCCACCCGCATCTCCAGGACAACCAGAGCCTGGGGCTCCGGGATGGGGCGATAAGACCCCCCAACCCAACAGGCTGGCTCTCGCTCCAGGTAGGGGCTGACCTGACTGTGGCCGGTAGAAATAAAGGCTCACCCCGGCCCTAGCTGGTTTGCTCAGTGGATAGAGCGTCGGCCTGCGGACTGAAGGGTCCTGGGTTGGATTCTCATCAAGGGCACATGCCCGGGTTACGGGCTCGACCCCCAGTAGGGGGCGTTCAGGAGGCAGCCGACCTAGAGATGAGGAACCGGTGGCCAGGAGTTAACTTGCCAAAGGCCGCCCCGATAGAAGCCAGGCTAGAACCCCTACCCAGGCCTACTAGAATCCTTCCTCAGGTCAAAGTCAAGGAATACTCTTTTCAGCGGGTCCCCAACGATCCCACTTAATCCGAACTTGGAACTGGGGTCCTGTGTGCTTCCCCCACTGGCCCAGCCTGGGGACAGTCGCGGGAGGCTGGGGGTTGGGCTCTGGCCGCCAGGCAGGCCCAGCCGAGGTGCTGACAGTAAACGAGTTATGAGTGAGGCGAGCTGTCCAAGTGGGCCGGGGTCAGCGGGGCCAGGGACCCTCCCCTTTCTCTCCAGCCTCATTCCGTGTGACTGACGTCCTTGCTCCCGCCTCCCTCTCTCTGCTTTCCTTTCCCTTTTCCTTTACTTTCTTCATCCTTCTCCGTTTGTTTCCCTTTCACCCTCTCCCACTCCCAGCCCCACCCCCGCAGTTACTGTGGCAACAACTCAATGCCAGAAATAAAGGCGGGATCCAGCTAGGTCACCAGTTCCCAAAACAGCATCCCAGTGCGGGAGGGGAAGGGCCTGCGGGCCAGGCCTGCTCTGGGGGTGGGCTCTGTGGGGAGGGGCACCCATGCTCCCCCCAAAAAGGACACTGTGTGAGCAGGCGAGGCTCCCTGCTCTGGGCCAGCGGCTCATCCGAGTATCCCTCACCTCCACCACGCCTGAGGCCGGTGCCTTTTCTAAGACTGGTGAAGCCCTCACTCTCTCCTCTCCTCTCCTCTCATATTCTCCTTCATGGCATCCCCATGTTAACGCCCTGTTCCATTTGCTGGGACTAGGATTGGGGTTCCTCTAGTGCCAACACTCTACAGCACCCTCTCACACTCTGAGAAGCATCTGGCAGGAGCAGGTGGGCCCCTATCCCCCCCGCCTTTGCTCCTGATGACATCAGGACTGGGCCCCCCTTCCTCCCTCCTACCCCACAAATATGCATCTGTTCATCTGGGCTCTCTGAGATCTCTCACTCAGGTTTCTGTGTCCTCTCTCTCTATCCCTCCTCTGAGGAGCCCCTCTTCCTCTGTCCCTCAGCCCCTCAGGCTTGCTTGGTCCCCAGCGTGTTCCTGCTCTGGCCTCTATTTATAGTGGGTCCTGTGGGTGGATTGTGATATCACCTGTACAAGCTGGATCGATAGGGCTGGGGGCGATGCAAGGGTCTTGCATCCCAAATTCAGCTTTCTGAATGATGGGCCATCCCTATGCTTGTCTTCACACACACATGAGCTCCGAGGGAGGAACTGCTACAGACCTGCACCCCCAGGTGGACAGCCTGCCCCAGGTGACCCACACCTGGCCATGGAGAGGCTGGTATGGCTGAGGCGAGACTCACGCGTGCGCACAGACAGGAGAGCCCACGCTGAAACATCGTTACAGAACGCACCCACCTGCCTGCAAGATCACACACCCACTTCCCAGAGAGGGCCCCACACACTGACACGCGGTGCCACCGACACCCACTGGCACCCACCCACCAACCCGCCCCTTCACAGCCACTCACGCCACGTGCCGACGCCCCCTCTCCAAGCTGAGCACATGTGCAGCCACACACCTAGAGCCCCCACCTCTACCCTGGGGGCTTCCGCGCCACCCCTTCCCACAGCACCACTACCCCCATCTCCTAGACCCGCCCTCACTCCCCCGACTCTGGCACCCTGGCGACACGGTCCCCTGGGAGGAAAACACCGGGTGCACCTCCCCAGGAAAGGGCAGAGTTAGCAGGGGTGCCTCTGGTCCTGGGGGGCCTGCGTGTCTGCTCAGCCCCAGCCCCTTCAAGCACATCAACAGCCAGCTCGGGAGAGAGCTGGGGTCAGGCTGCCGCCACACCCTGCCGCCCAACCTCATCCTGCACTTGGCCCTCACCCAGCCTGGCCAGCCAAGGGCTAGCAGGGGCCTCCCCAGAGCCCTTGCCCCAGGAGCACACCCACACCAACAACATGCGGCCTCTGTGTGAACTGCTCCCCCCAGAATACCTGTGGTGGGAGGGAGGCTGCCACCCCTTTCTCTCCCTTCCCTGTCATTCAGGAGAGGGAACAGCCCCCCTGCTCTCTGGCCCCATCCCATCACCTGGATGTCTGGCCCACACAACGAGGTGAGGGGGGCGCCGGGGTGCCAGCATGGAACCCCCCAGGCCCTCTTCCTCAGATCCGAAGGCGGTCGGATCAGATCAAACCCAGCCAGTCTCAGGTCTGGCCACAGGGCCCATCTCCTACTGAACAACAACAGGCCACAGCTGGCCCTCCTAGGGGCTCCCTGCCACCCCCAGAGCCTCACTCCCAGGCTGGTGTTGTGGCCCCAAGTGCCCACAGAGGGGAAGAGAGTGGGAGACCCTGCCACCTACCTGCTCCCAGACAGCGTGGCCCCGACACTGAGCCCCAAGGCTGGGCAGGGACCAGCGCAGGCCAGGTCCCCAGCTGCCGCTTTTCCTCTGAGCCTAGGTAGCCGGCATCTCTTCCCGCAGCACAGATAACAGGAAAAGAGCTGGCTGGGGTGTGGTGGGAGCTGGAGGAAGAGACCTACCCTCCTGCCCCCACCTCCCCGGCTCCCACCCTGCTCCTGCACAAGCCTGGAGCTCGGATCCCAGCTGAGCTGGGGCGTCTGCGTGTGGCAGGCAGGCGTGGGCCACTGGCTCCCCCACACCCGCACCCTCCCCACCTCCACTGATAGCGTGTGGCCGGCCCAGGGTGTGTTTGTATGTGTCTGCTCTTCCACCTCGCTCGCTCATTCACTCGCTGTAGCTCAATCCATTTCAAACAAGAGGAGCAGCTCACTCGCTCGCTCAACTCGCTGTAGCTCAATCCATTTCAAACAAGAGGAGCATTAAGCCGACATCATGACGAAGCAGAATCGGAAGCAGACTGGGCCAGCCGCCGGCCTTTTCCCCTTTCCCACACCCCTACCCTGCAACACTCGCACATTCACTCAGCTCCTAGAGCGTCCTCACAAACAGCCAGACCTTCACAGCGGGACGGGGCCCTGCTGATAACCCAGGGGTGACAACATCTGGTTCCTCCAAGCACCTGTATCTCCTGCCCGGCAGCTAACAGCAGCCACAGGGGCCTCTGGGGCCCATGCCTCCCTGGGTGATAAAGGGCATGGGAGCCGAGAGCTAGGGGTGTGGGCACAGCTGCCAGAACTGATCACCCCAGGATCACCCCTCTCCTGGGAGGACTGGGAAAAGCAGGTCTTCAGCACAGGAGACTGGTTAGCCCTTCAGGAACCTGAGTCCCCTCGGAAATGCACAGAGCACAGCGGTGGTGCTGTGAGGGAGAGGAACCCCATTTCCTGCCAGGACGACTTCGTCAAAAGGGAACTTCCTGCCAGGTGGGGCCCAGGTCCCAGCAGAGAGTTTCAGGATGTTTCCCCGCCTCTGGGAGGACCTCCAGGGCCCTGTCACCGCCTTCGGTTTGCTGTGGGCTCAGAGCAGAGCCCGGTTCACTGGTGACCCCCAGAGGCAGGCAGGGGAGGGAGCCCCGCCAGCTGACCCTGGCCCTGGCCCTGGCCTCCTCTCTCCACCTCCGCCTGGAAGACCTGCCTACCTAGGCAGCTCTTGCCGTTGCCCTGGTAACCACTGCCCACAGCCGGTCAGCTGATGTATCAGCTGTCATTGGGGAAATTGAGAGACTGGGGAGGGGGCTCTGGGATACCTGAATGGAAAAATCACAGGGGAGGGTCTTGAAGGGGCAAGTGAGAATGTTCCCTGGGACCTTTTTCCCTAAAAGAAGAGGACAGGAGGGGACAGGTAGGGACAGGAAGGGAGGAGGTATGTGTCTGGGTTACTGGGAGGCAGGAGAATGAAATCTGAAGGCTGGGCTGCAGAAAGCAAGGAGAAATGAAGGCAGGTTGCTGAGCGGCGAGGAGTAGATACAGTCCAGCTGCTGTGTGTGGGGTGGGGAGAGGGCCTTGGAAAGGATGAGAAAGCCAGGCGTGGGGGAGGGAACACAGGGCCCATCTGACAGTGAAGAACACAGGGAGATGGTGGGAGGGGGAGTACCTTAGATGTCACAGGAGGGGCCACATCCTTGAAGAGAGGGACCAGGCTTCTCTGGGTAACCAGCCTGGCCACCGGGCCTCTCTGCTCTCTCTCCCTCCACCCGCCCCCGCCTTACTGCCCTGGCCCCACCCCAGGCCTGCACAGCCTCCCTCCACCCTCCCGAAGAGCAAGTGCCGGTGCTTTTCCGCCTCAGCCTTCAGCACCGCTGATCTTCCCTTCCCCTCGGGTCCTCCCCTGCTCTCACTACCCCTCACCAGACCCACCCAGGAGGCTTGTCTTCCCGTGCAAGGGTCCCAGAGGTAAGGCTGGAACGAGCTGCTGCCGGCTCGGAAGCTGTGGGCAGGGGCCTGGAGCGAGGTGGCTCGTGAGGAATGGGTAACTGTCTCCGGCTGGGAGGAAGGGAGCATTCCCCTCAGGAAAACAGGCATGTTGAAGGGGAGGGGGGGTCAAGGGGAAGGATGGGGGGAGTAGGGAGGGTAATCGGTACCTTCAAGGGCCTGGGGCGTGAGGCAGGAGCACGGCAGCTTCCTCGGTGACATACACCTCCATCCCTGGGCGCATCTCCTCTCCGCCTCCCGTTGCCAAGACAACCTGCCGGCTGAGCTGAGGAGGAGGCGGCAGGGAGGGGGGAGGAGGTGGCTGTGGCTCCTACTGCTTGTTCTTCAGTGATGGAGGGAGGAGGCCTGAGGTGGGTCTCTCTGCTGGGGGTGGAAGCTTCAGGAGCCAGGGCTCCCACCCAGCCTGGCCACTCTCCCCTCCCCCTTCCACAGGCTCTGGGATTGGCTCCTGGGGTGGCCTCAGGAGGACCCTAATTCAGGCCCAGAGAGCAGGCCTGCCTTGGAGAAGGAGGCAGTCAGTGCTGGGCAGCAGCCCCCATTCAGAAAGCTCAGCTTGGAGTAGGGAGAGCGCGATAGGTACGAGGGAGGGATAGGCTATACTGAAGGGTTAGAGGGTGGCTTCCAGCCAGAACGAGAGGGTCTGGGCAAGGCTGGGGCAGGCGCGTGGCTGTGGGCCCAGAAGCCTGACCCCATCTGACCTCTGCTTTCCCTGATGGCCGCCTCCTAGTCCCCACCCCTCTCCTTCCCCTGGACCTACAGGAGTCAGAGCCTGGGCCACTGCTCTTCCAGGGCCACAAGGCCCATCCCCGCTGCCCAGCTCCAGGGCAGTGTCCCTCCCTGGGCAGAGCCACCTGGGGCAGGAGCCTGTTCAGCCAGCCAGCCCTAAACCACGGGGACTGCAGAGTTAGGGCTCCCTCTGTCGACGCGAAGCGTGTAGCTGTCAAGGTCATTCCTGCTGAGAGTGATCCTGGCATGTGTCGTGTTGGCTGGGGGTCCAGAGGCCACAGAGGGACGGAGAGCCTTCTCCAGCCCTGCTCCACCTTCACCTCACCTCTGGCCTCATCCCACAGAGAGCCTGCTCTGCCTCCTCCCGGGAAGCCCCAGACACCCCAAGGCCAGCTGCCC